GGCTGTTTGTAAAAAACCTGGCACGTCCTACATCTCTGGACATACCTCTCACAGTCCCCCACAATGGTCGGCCAATAGTAGCCTAGCAGGATGATCCTTTGAGCCAAAGTGCGGGACATTTGATGGGCTGCACAAACTCCCTCATGTACTTCGGCAATTACGCGTTCAGCCTCCGGGTTGGTGAGGCAACGCAAGAGTGGTCCGCCAATGGCACGTTTGTATAGATGACCATCGATTACCTGGAAACGTGGAGCCCGTAGGACCACCTTCCTGGCTCGTTCCTCGTCATCAGGCTTCTGACCGGTCTCCAAATACTCCATGAGTTCGTATCTCCAGTCATCGTCTGCTCCGATTATCCCGGTCGCTGAAGTCTGGCCCGGTTGGATGGCCGCGACTTCAAACCGGTCTGTACTCGGTACGTCCAGTATCTCAATTTTCGCCAATTTTGACACATGCTCTGGGCAAGCTTGCGTCAATTTTGAAAGCATGTCTGCATCAGCGTTTTCCGACCGAGGTATCCTAGTCAGACGAAACTCTTCTAATTCCCTTAGAAGCGCTCGGACCAGATCACTATACCGGGCCAGGCGATCCTCTTTTACCTCCATCTCACCATTGACCTGTCCGACTACTAGACTTGAGTCGGAACGGATCTTCATCCTTTTTATTCCGAGTGTCCGGGCTAATCTGAGGCCACCGCCCAACGCCTCATACTCCGCCTCATTGTTGGTGAGCTTGAAGTTGAAAATCAAGGCATGGTAGATCTTGAATCCCTCCGGGGTAGTGAAGACTACGCCGGCACCGCATCCCTTCGGTCCAGAGGCCCCATCAACGGCCATATCCCACCACGGTTCGACCGTATGGGAAGGTCCGGCTTCGGGCTCCAGACCGGTCAGTTCAACGAGGAAGTCTGCCAAAGCTTGACCCTTAATCGCAGTCCTTGGTTTATACTCTATCTTGAACTGAGTTAGCATCATCGCCCATTTGATCAACCTTCCCGAGGAGGTTGAATTTCGAAGGATCGGTCCAAGCGGCTGATCGGTGAGTACTTCCACAGTATGAGCTTGGAAGTATGCGGTCAGTTTTTTGGCCGTTATGAAAAGCGCGTATGCCGTTTTCTCAATGGCAGTATACCGGCTTTCAGCCCCATTCAGTGCTTTGCTCACATAGTAAATAGGCCTCTGGCCGTCTTCATTTATTATTAAAACAGAGCTTACAATATCTGAGACTAAGTATTCCTTCAGCTGCTGGAAGGCTTCCTCACACTCCCGGTCCCACTCGAATGTATTAGCCTTCTTCAGAACCTTGAAGAAAGGCAGAGCCCTCTCAGCAGACCGGGAGAGAAAACGACTCAAGGCTGCCAACCGGCCGGTAAGTCGTTGTACGTCCTTCAACGAACTGGGCGACCTCATTTCAGTTATGGCCTTGATCTTCTCCGGATTAGGCTCAATTCCACGCTTGGTCACCATGAACCCCAGAAACTTACCGGTCTTTACAGCAAAGACGCATTTCTTGGGGTTGAGACGCAAGTTGTACCTAGCCATAATCTCGAAGCAGAGCCTCATGTCGGCTGGGTGGTTCTCCGCACCCGGGCTCTCGATTAGCATGTCATCCACATAAGCCTCCATGGATTTACCGAGGAGTGGCTTAAAAAGCCGGTTTACCATCCTCTGGTAAGTGGAGCCCGAGTTCTTCAGTCCAAAGGCCATCACCCGGTAGCAATAAGTGCCTTCGGGGGTCAAGAAGGAAGTCTTTTCCTCGTCCTCTTCAGCCATGAAAATCTGATGGTAGCCTTTGAAAGCGTCCATGAAGCTGAGCAATTCACACCCTGCCGTCTCATCGACCATCTGATCGGGACTGGGTAGCGGGTATGAATCCATGGGGCATGCCTTGTTCAGGTCCGTGTAATCCACGCACATGCGCCAGGTATCGCCCTTTGGAGCCAAGACTACGTTTGCTAGCCAGGCCGGGTATTGCACTTCTCTTATGTGCCCGACCGCCAACAAATCCCTCACTTCTTTCTTCACAAAATCCCTCCGGACATTCGCCAAGTGCCTCTTTTTTTGTTTCACAGGCCGGCTTCCTTCCATCACAGCCAAACGATGGCATATGACAGAACGGTCAATACCTGGCATGTCCGCCACACTCCAAGCAAAAATATCTGCATATTCCCTAAGGACCGAGATGATTTCATCTCGAAGTCCTCCAGGCAGATCTCTGCCAATCCTTACCATTCTTTTCGGGAAGGCTTCCCGGAGAACAATCTGTTCGGTTTCATCGCCCGGTTCCAGCTTTGACCGGTCTTCTTCCTGGGAGACCAAGGTGATCCTTTCGAACGCCTTGGTCATTTTCTTTACAGCTTCCAAATAACAATGCCGAGCCTTCTTTTGATCTCCTCTGACTTGTCCTATACCGCCCGGGGTATAGAACTTCATACAGAGGTGGGCCATGGAGATGACCCCTCGAACCTTGTTTATCCCAGGCCGGCCCAAAATAGCGTTGTGAACACATTTGATGTTCACAACTACAAACCTCATTTGCTTTTGGACGACTTGGTCGCCTGTGCCCAGCTCACAAGTTAGAAGAATCGACCCTTCAGCTTCGACTGAGTCCCCGGTAAACCCAGACAGGGGAGTCTTTAGGGGCTCAAGCCGTGTTCGACACAACTTGAGCTTCTCAAATGCCTCCAGGTACAAAATGTTAACACTGCTGCCCGTGTCAACAAGTACCCGGGAGACATCAACTCCACCCATGTCCATAGTTATCACCAGGGGGTCATTGTGATCTTCTCCGGTGGCGGGAAGGTCCCGGTCAGTAAAAGTGATCGGTTCCCGTCTTGCTTGTTTTGACCGGGGATT